AACTCACATCACAATCCAAAGTTCAAAGTAATAGTAATGTTATTTTATTTATGTATTGTTGCTTTTGTTGTCACCTCCTTTTTATATTAATTGACTTGTCATGTTTTGTGTTTTTTCAAAGGAATTAAGCACCAAAAATAAAAAGCTAGTGAAGAAAAATGAATATACATATAAGACTGGACATAAGGGATATGCGGGTATTGAAAAGGGCTTGATTGAAAAAGAGAAAGTATTGGGGGGTTCTATATCCCGTGGTAGGATTTGGGCTGAGGCTTGAAAAAATAAAGAAGGCAATATTGATAACCCAAAACAAAAGCAGTTGATGAAACAATAGTAAGTATTAATGATATATTGATATAATGTTATTCAAAAGAGACTTTAACTTAGGAGGCATTAGAAGGCACTCAAACTGTTGATGAGGATATATTGAAGAAGGCATTAGGGAATACTAACCATCCTGATTGTTTTTTAGGCATCAGCTTTTGAGTCACAAGAAAAGATTACTTTAGAGATGGGTCTAAGCGCAGTAAAAAGGCTACTTCTTCTATTGAGGTTTAAGAGTTATAGCAAGAGCTAGCAAAATAGAAGCAGTAGATACTAGCACAATCGCAACAAATACAAGAACAATCTAGACTCATAGACATGCTGTTGAGCTAGCATAAGTTGGGCTTCCACTAGCTGATAGTAGCCTTAATGTGAATGATAGTTGCATAGTCCTATCTCAACTCCTACCTAATGTATTATTATTCATTTTACTATAGTCTTACACATAATACTACTTTTATTATTCATATTACATAATTTTTTTCTTTTTTTTTAATTTGTGTAGGGTGAGGTTGACGTTGATTGTTGGCAAAAGACGGACTTGTGATTGCATTGGGGGTGCATGTATAACATTACTAGACAAGTGATACTTCACAATGAACACATCCCTAAAGGGACAGTGAAAATCTCTTTAAAAAGAGCTAAGGATCTTAATTATGATCAATGCTACCCCACTCCGAATACAAGGATAGTAGTAGATGCATTGCTCAACTTTTTGTATGGCCTTCTTCATATTTTAGCACCATCTCCAAAGGTATATTTGTTAAACTCATAATTGAAACTTAACTTTTTTTCATTTTTTATAGTTGATATCTAACTATCTTATATGTTGGAAAAATTAGCCTGTTAATAAGCCAGTGGGAAAGAAAGCACTGGAGGCTATGACAGCATTTACTACTAAGCAAAAGAGGGAAAATGATAAGAAGACCTCAAAAAAATCTAAAGAATCCATCATATTTTCCTAGAAGACACTGGTTCTCCCCTAAGCCAATTTGCCTAAAGCCCCTCAGCCTCAAGCCTCTAAGCATCAAGTTGCACCCAACAAAAATCAACAATTGCTTAAGACCTATGCTGAGATGCAAGAAGGAGTATTGCTCCTTTTCCTTGCGAACGTGTATGCTAATCCACAGTCTTTTGACCAAGTCAACAATGAGGTGTTGGATGATTTATTCAACCATGCAAAGGTTACTACTACCCTATGTAACTTGTATATGAGGTATATTTCTGAAACCTTTCATTAAACATTTAGCTACACACACACACACACACACTCTTTTTAATCATTTATTGTTCTATTTATTTTGACATTTAAGAAACCTCTATACTACCATGCTTGCCGAAAGAGATATAGCATGAAGGATTATATTTGTCAGTCCTTATATGGTCTCTCGTTATGACCATGACATAATGAGTTCTAAGCAAGGATTGAAAATATCTCAAAAGCTTTCAAAGTACTTATAGCAACATGGTGCCGACAAGAACACAATATTCATAACACCTTATTGTGAAAGGTAAGTTATTTTATGATGCTTCACTTTAACTTATTCAAAATTTAATTATTTATATGATACTTCCTAATTGTAGTTTTTGTCATAGGGGACACTGGATATTACTTGTGGTCAATCCAACTTTAGGGAGGGTGTGGTACCTTGACCCTCTTTGTAGTAGCCATCCCTCTAACAAATTCCATATTGTAGAAATAATTAATTAGTAAGTTGATTAATTTTTTTACATATATGTATGTAATTTGTTCTTTTTCTATGAATATTTTTCATCTCAAGTTTTCTATTTCACGTTAGGGCCATTGTCATGTACTGCACTGATGTTGATCGACAATTTTGACAACTAGTAAAGGGAAGTGGTCAATTTGATACAGTAGCATCATGGACAGTTGTCAAGGTATATGTATTTATCATTAATTATGTTAGCAACGTCACTGTATAAGTCATGTCATATTATTAATTAACTATTTGATTTTTATCCATTGTATGATTGTAGTGTCCAGAGCAGGCAGACAAAGTCAGCGATTATAGGTACGCTATCATGAAATTCATGAAAGACATAATCCAATATGCTCCAATTGAAATTCTTCCAAATGATATAATATATATTGTCTTCCTATTCATTAATATTATATTAGTTTTCATTAATAAACATGATTTTAATTTGTTGTTGTTGTTGCATATAGTATTATGAGGACGCATACTGTGACACGTATACTTATTCTCAAATGGAATAAGTCCTTGAAGAGTTAGTACATGGTATTTTTGAAGCATGGTTTATTTTGAATAGGCAGAAGTAATGAGAGTCAGGAAACTTAGGCAAATTTTAGGATTTGTAGCTTTATGTTTTAGCCACTAATTGGTTTAATTTAAGCACTTCATGTTGTATATAAGTTTTTTATAGGAATTCATTATACATTTATATATATACTTGACTATTATTGACTGGAATTTGGGTCTGGGTGTTGGAATATTATTTTGTAATTTTCAATGTAGGAGAATTGGTAGAAATGCAGTTTGCCCAATGCAAAAAATTGGGTCATGATATTCAATAGTTTTGAACTAAAAAAAATGTTGAATAAATGGATAATATTTAACAGTTAAAAATCGTTGAATAAAGAGTCCTAGAATATTCAGCGTCGGATTACTTAATAGTTCATAACTGTTAAATAATAAGAAAAATAACTATTTTATATTCTCTTTTTTATAGTAGTGTTAGTTAGATAACAAAAAACCAAAAAAGGTATGGATCCTTAGATAGAGAATAGTAAAGGAAAGGTGAGGAAATGAGATGCTGAGATAAATAATAAATAAAATAAAGAAATTTCTGTTAAATTCCCCGGTTATTGGAGGAAATCCAGATTCTTGAATTATGGAGAGCAAACTTTGACATTGAAAGTTGAAACAAAATCATGAAAAAAAAAAAAAAAACAGAGAAAGAGAGATAATCCTGCATTTCTAACAATAGTCACTGTGGAGCTAATTATTCAGGCCCGTTAAAAAAAATAATAAATAGTCTAACTTGTAATAAGGAAAATTTTTTGCATGGATTCGAATATCAATTTATTTATATTCTATTTAATAAAATTATATTAATTCATCTATTAAATAAAATCTTATATATTATTATTTTTAATGACTTTTCTTTTATTAGAGTGCCTTTTTTTTATTTCTTGTCTTTTCTCTTTTTATCATTATCAATAACAAATTCAATTTATATTTATAGTCATCTAATATAATATATTTTGATTGAATAGTATAAATGATGTGATGCATCATGTCTATACAAAAATTTCTTTATAATAAGATGCAATGATATTTTATTTAAATACCTTTATTTGTTATGTTTCTTTTAATAGTCTATGTCTTCTCTCTTTCTTCATCGAATTGTAGGGTAACTTCGTCAAAAATATAATTATTAATACTTTGTAGAAATTCTGAAGTGACAATTATTGCTTGGAAACTGTTATTTAAAAAAGGGGAGAGAACAATTAGTTATACTTGAGTTGAGTGAAAGGAGCTTAATTCCTCTAAACAATTAATTATATTTTTTTCTGGACATTATTTAACTTTTTTTTCCCCTATTTACATGTCAATAAAGTTCATAATAGGTTAAAGTATTGGTTAAGCAAATAATGTCGGTTGGTTAAAAGAATATTTTGCAATTTTCACTATACAATATTGAGATTTAAATTTTTGCTATACATCAATTTGATCATTTAATAAAATTAAAAAAAAAACGACGTAGAATTTCTTCTTTATTAACATATAAATACAGTTGAAATAGGATTTTAGAACTTTTTTATTGAGGAAATATTCGCTAATACTAAGATGTGGTGACAAAATTTTTCCCTTAAAGACAATGTTTTCAAGTTTTTTTTTTTTTTCCTTTTTAAACATACGAAATCAACCCTTAAATGTCATAACTAGCTGCAAAAGGAGATGCAATAATCAAAGTTGGAGTAAGAACTAAGAAGTTCAATCATAACTTGTGTTTTCCTAACAATTCAATTTGTGTATAACCAAAATGATGCATACATATAACAACTATATAAATATCTTTCGTGGTGTGGAAGAGAAAATAAACATAATAATTATACTAATATATACGAGATTTTTTTTTTTTTTGGAAGATTGTACGCATTGCTTTAATATTTGAACTTTGTTAAAAAAAATGTTAGGAAAAATTATAGAAAAAAAATTAAACGATATGGATGAATTATATATATATATATATATATATATATATATATAAAATGACTTCCTAAAAGTTAAATATGGCCTGCAGGTATCATTTCCCAATTTTCTTGGAAAGAGAAAATGAAAGAATACTTGAAGTAAAATTTATTTCATTCTATTAGTAGTTGGTCTTTCTGGAACCTTTCCACCAAAAAAAAAAAAAACAAAAAGAAAGCTAGCCAAGACATTAAAGCAAATCTTGCACTCTACCATTCCTCACTAACATAACATCTCACCTAAACTGAACCTGATATATGCAATCCAACAGAACCCTAGTTATAATAATCAACAAAAATATAGACACACACACACAAAAGTGCCAACCTTAACTATGTTGTACTTTTTTCTGGTACACGTTCATATCATATAGTTTTGTTGATTGGCGGCTCAGGTACTTGGTCTCCAACTAACTTTGCACAATTCCATCTCATCATTGAGTGGCTTCAAAGTATAACGGTCCTGCGTTAAGCATTTGTTTGTGAGCAAGGCTCACTTTATATATACAAATTAGACTTTCCTGGAGATTTATCATTGTATTTTCAGTTTCAAATTCCTCTGAGTGTGTCTGATTAATCTGTTTCAGATTCTGACATCTTATTGCCATGATCATCATGTCACCAAAACACGTCGTTCCGATCACATTCATCTTCTTGGCATTTCTTTCTTTTCCCTCATTGTCTAAAGCTGAGCTTTATTCACACTACTATGATCAAACATGTCCTGAGTTGGAAACAATCATATCCGAGACAGTTCTCAACTCTTCAAAATATGACCCGAAAGTTCCAGCTCGTATATTGAGGATGTTCTTCCATGACTGTTTCATTAGGGTATGCTTAATTAAGGCATTAAAATTTTTGGATTATCTTTTTAAACCAACTCCATCTGATATGAGACTTCTTCCCATATGAATAGCCTGTGCATGTGTGTGTATAATTGGTTAGCTTGTATTTTTTTTTCGTGTAGGGTTGTGATGCATCAATACTATTGGACTCAACTCCAATAAACAAAGCAGAGAAAGATGGCCCCCCAAACATCTCTGTTCGATCATTCTATGTGATCGACCAAGCTAAAGCCAAGCTTGAAAAGGCATGCCCACGCACAGTTTCATGTGCTGATATACTCGCCATTGCCGCAAGAGATGTTGTAGTCCAGGTAATTCACACTCATCTCGTCACTTCAAGAGCGCTCTCACTCTCTCTATATATATGCACATGTTAGATTGTGTAAATATGAATTGATTTAAATAGATGTGGGAAATTCCACAAATAAAATTGAACTTAATACCTAATATAAAATAAAGAGGAAGCTAAGGACCCATAAATTTGAGTTTTGAGTTAAAATATGTGGTGTCCTTCCATTCCTTTTCACCCATGTACCTTTAGTAATGTTTTTTCAAATTGTTATGTTATCCAAATATGAGTAGACTTAAACAAATAAGAGAATTTGATCCTTCAAGAATTTGATCCTTTATTTTTAAAAAAATTATCATGTTAATCCTTTAAGATTTAATAAAAAAATTTATTCATAAATTAATTTAATGTGTAAAATATTTTAAATGCTTACATATGTAGCTAAATGAGAATAAATTAGCCATCAAATCAGTTTAACTTTTATTAATATTTTCCCTTGCATTGCATTCATTTTATTTTAGTTTTTTTAATTTTAGAGTCCATTTTTTTCCTACTAAACTAATTAACTAATTACAATCCTTTTTGTCAATTCACATGGTTGCCATTAATATTCTATTATCTATGTCAACAAATTTTAATAGTATTACCTCATATTTAAACAATAAGAACTATATCAATAACTAACACAAATTTAAGAGACTAAATCAAAAAAAAATAATAAATTTGAAGGATCAAATTGAGACAAATTTAAGGTACTAAAAGTTTCATTATCCTATATACATACGTGCATTGCAAGATATTAAAAACCAAATTAGTCATTAAACTTATGAAGGTACTGGTTTAAAGGTTAATGGCCAAAATAATAGCTGAACTGTTTTGAATTAATCATAAATAAAGCATTTTATTAAAGTAGTCAAGATACTGATTTAACAATTTACCAATTGAGCCAGGTGGGTTGACCCAAATTTCCAGTGTTGTGCTTAATCATGTATATTTGTATTGGTGATTTCTTTGACAGTCTGGAGGTCCATATTGGGACGTTTTGAAAGGAAGGAAAGATGGAAGAGTGTCAAAAGCATCTGATACAAGAAACCTACCAGCTCCTTCTTCAAATGTGAGCCAACTCATTCAGAGCTTCGCTTCAAGAGGATTAGACGTCAAAGATTTGGTCACTCTATCAGGTGGTCACACTCTGGGATTTTCACACTGTTCTTCATTCGAAGCTCGGCTTAGGAATTTCAGTCTGTTGCATGACGTTGATCCGAGTTTAGACTCTAAGTTCGCTCAAGATCTGAAGCAGAAATGCCCAGAAAAACCATTATTCAGGGGCCATAATGCAGGACACTTCTTGGACTCAACAGCTTCAGTGTTTGATAATGACTATTACAAGAGATTGCTTGCTGGGAAAGGATTGTTTATATCAGATCAAGCAATAGTTGGAGATTACAGGACCAGATGGATTGTTGAAGCTTTTTCTTACGATCAAAGTTTGTTCTTCAAAGAGTTTGTTCATTCCATGTTGAAACTTGGCAACGTGGGCGCCTCTGCAAATGGAGAAGTGAGACTTAACTGCAGGGTTGTGAATTGAGAGAGACAATCTGAGACACTATGATGATTTTACAGTTTTTTTTTCCCCCGCCTCGTCTTTTCCCACTATGTATCCCTATGGTTTACAACGATGTGACCATGCGAGAATAACAATATTGTTACTTCTATGCTTCACTCAATGTAATTGGTTGCTCAATAAAAGATGAATTTAAAATTTTCAAATCACTTGCAGGGATGGAGTGAGGGACAGAGGCCGTTTTCAATTTTTTTTTAATATCATATAGATGATATATATTTATGATCACGTAAAATTTACGAAAGCTTTATAATACATGCGTGTGTATGTTAATTTTGGCCCTCCGTCAATGCACGCTATACTTTAATAAAAATAAACAATACTACATAAAAAATTATATTTGATGGTTATTTTTAGTTTTATTTAACGCATTTTAACTGTTAAATATAAAGGTGTCATTTAAATATTGACTGCTTACTTGATGGTTATTTACCACTATATAAGGCATCAGAAAAATCAAGAGTTACCTAGTTTTAGTTCGTTTCCTTTCAGTAAAACACTTGAGGGTTATTTAATAATTCAATAAGAAAATTTTGTAAATATTAAGACGTGATGCACAGGTTTTATAATATAGATCACAGAAAACATTAAAGCGAAGCACAAGCTGTTATCCACTCAAACAATGACTTGGATTATGTTGAATAAATTTGGGACCAAGAGAACTGCTACATCAAAATACAAAACAAAGCATGATCATGTGGCATCTAACAAAAACTAAGGACAATTATAAGATTTTACAGCAAACCAGCTCTTACCCTATTTGAATGATGGATTCCTAAAGGGAAGTCAAGGTCAGCGAAAGTGCTTCCGATTAGCAAATACTGTATCTAGATGTGGGGAAAAGAATTCAACAATCCATGAACTACAGACAGCAGTTGTTGCAGACGACAGGCACATAATTGATGAAAATATATTCTCTCCGTAACAAAAGCATCATGGCAATAATAAACCAACATCTCATTGCTTTATAAAAAAATCAACAGATGGTAGGCACCTAATTGATGAAGATACGGAAGGCTAAGGTCTAATGTAAGACTTTCATCTGATTGGCAACCTGAAAGAGCCATCTTACTAATGCTGCACGATTTAAGAGGGGTCTTTGTACAGACACTTGCTCCATCTGCAGTAGCGGGGTGGAAGATGAAGCCCACGAACTGGGGAGCTCTCTTCATGCTTTTATCTTGGTGGCTCTGGAGATGTGGGAATATGTTTATCTTGGAAGGGAATAAGATTCAGCACACTGGTATCATTCTTAATGCCCATGCTACTATCGCTAGTATGATAGAAGCCCAAGTTCGGCTCTCAGCAATAACTATTGTCAACACTGCAGTTGGTGAGCCTAATATGGGCAGGTGGTTGCCATCTGTGGATGAATGGGTTAAGGTTAATGTGGATGGAGCTCATGCACATATCCCCAACTCTGCATGTCGAGGTCTAATCAGAGATTCCTCAGGTCATTTCCTCGTCGGGTTTATTTTTCACATGAATGAAGGAGGCAGCCTTTCAGCAGAGCTCTGGGCTTGCGTTCACAGAATGAAGCTTGCTTGAAATCATGGGTACAGGAAAGTCATTCTAGAAACTGATTCATTTAGAAGCTTTGGATCTTTTAAATGCTGATATTTTAAGTCCAACTATGCTGATCGAGCAGTCATTATGGAGGCCAATAATCTCATTAGTAGGGAGTGGGAAGTTACAATGCAGCATGTTAGGCAATTTTCAAATCAAACTGTTGATCGCTTGGCTAAGTGTGGACTCTCTGCCTTGTTGGGTTTTCACTTTGTTCACCCTGCAGCTCTCAAGGATATCAATGAGAAGGATTGTGCTGGCACTACTAGTTCTGTATAGCCCACTAGCTTACTTTGTTTTATGAAAAAACATAATTTTTGGTCCTTACACTTTTCTTACATTTTGCTATAAATCCCTGCACTTTTTTCTTTTTTTTTCCCTGATGTTCTAAGTCCCTCCAAGGTCCCTACACTTTGTTCATTTAGGGATTTAGAATATTGAAAAACAAAAGTGTGAGGACCTAGTATATAGACAAGAAAATGCAGAAACCTATAGAAAAACATGAGCAAAGTGCAAGAACCAAAAGTTATGTTTTTCCTTGTTTTATCAACCAAAAGAAAAAAAAATTAACAACAGCTACTAATGCTATTTTGACCAAAAATGAGCCTCAACCATCCGAATCAACATCCAGCAGTAACAGACTTGATCAAAGAATAGGAAAATCAATAAAAATATCATCATTTATGCTTGACTTGACCCAGCTAATTTTGGCTAGGTCCTGTTGGGGTTCTCAGGTTACTTGGGTCAGTGTGTGAGCAGCATTTACTACAATTGTTTACTCAACTAAACAGGATGCCAAGACAAAGCCAAAGAGCCCAAATGTCGTTACAACTTTGTAGAGTGAAAAGACTCTTGAGAAAATAAAAATCAGAACAAAAGACGAACAGTGGTTAAGTGGAAGGGAATCAATTCCTTTTCTCCCCAGCCCCCCCACCGCCGGGGGGGGGGGAGTGGGGGAAGAGGGTCAACGATTCAAACGTGAATGAAAGAAAATCACATTGGAAGAGCAATTCTCAAAAGTGCCCAAGCTGATCAAATCTGACCTAGTAATATGGGATATCAAATAATTGTATCCAAAAAGAATCAGAAAAACGAATTGACAATCTAATGAAATATTAGAATCCAAACTCATGTTATAACATTTTTTTTTTATTTGTATGTTTGGTAAAAAGAAAATAATATAAGAACACAAATGAAATGTGAAAAAATGACCAAAATACGGCTGTTGCTATAAATATTAAAATGTTAGTTTTGTTAATTGAGGTAAAAAGATTAAAAACTATATATACTTCACATTTGAACAAACTTTTTCTTTCAAAGTAATCAAGGGTAAAAGGACCTTTTTGAAGGCACTTATCGTATAAACAGTGCAATTTCATGGCAACTTAGGCAGAAAGCACAATTATCTGTATTGCCGGAAAGACCATATCAAGTTCAGAAATATGTTCATTCACACAAGGCAATCTAAAATTTGCTCCCCACTATGTCTTTCTCTTTTCTCAATCCAATCCTTGCACCAAAGACATTTTAAGGGATCACTTGATACAAAATACAGAAGATGGACAAAATAATTTTAAAAATAAAAATGATAAAAAAATTTCTATTTAAAAAAATAATAAATACATAAAAAATTGTTTAGTGGTAATATTCTAAAAAAAACATACATCAAATGAGCTAAATCTCAAAGTGAAAACAGAGACTGACATTGAAAGTGCCCTTGCTTATCATTGAAGCACGGTAATCCAACATAAGCTGCAAACTAATTACAATAACCTAAACTTTAACTGAAGGCAAAATATGTTGAGTAAAATTATTCGTACAGAATACTAAAGAGTGAAAAATGTTTGACTGGTATGCTATTTACATAATAACAGCAACTAGGTTAACCAGCTAGTTTAGTTCTTATGAACAAACTGATCAAATCAACTTCCTATATGCCTATACATTATTTAATGTAATGGTTTTTACCTAGAATCATCCCTAAGCTTTCCTGAGCACCTCAACCTTACATACATATTTATGTGACGCAGCCTTACATATTTATGAACCACAAACCTGTTTCATCATATGAAACCGATACTCCACAATAGTGATATTTTAAATACAGAATCAGTTAACATCACTTCATTATTTTAATATTGAGGGTCAAACTTGTTAGTCAGAGGTCCAGTCAATAAATTCAAGATCATGAGATGGACTAATAATACCTCAGCTTACCAGTGTCCTCATGGAACTTTTTATAAATTAATTCAGAGATATCAAATTCCAGTGAACATTTTTATTGTCTATTTGAAATTTGAAATGGTTGATAAAAATGTTTAAGTTGGAATTGTTTTATGGTTTTCAAGATAATGAAACATAGTAAGAAAAAGATATAAACATCTAACCTGAACAGAATAAAACAGGTCAGGGACAATGACATTCATAAGATATCTCCCTAAATTAAAACCTCCTCCATCAGCATTGCACACTCCTTCGTGTAACTCAACTAAATAGAACATTCACAAGAAAGTTAAGAAGTCGGAGGTTGGATGCATTGAGTTTTGGACATTGTAATTTTCCAACAATAGGAGGTAAAACTAAAACTGCAAAATTAATTACTGGTTCTGTTTACCAACAGTAAATGATCAAAGTCCTTAATCTCCATACAGAAAAGAATTACTGCATTGCACCAACATTAATAATCATAATTATAACAATAATACACTTAGTTTAGTGATCAGTTAACAAGGGGAAATCCTTAAAAAGATATACCATAGTTGGGCACAAGATATGTACCAGTTTAGTGATCAGTTAACAAGGGGAAATCCTTAAAAAGATATACCATAGTTGGACACAAGATATGTACCATTGTTCAAGCAAATGCTACATCTGAGCGGAAAACATATTTGACACCCTTTGTGACATTTCTGCCTTCATGCAACAAGCATTTATCTCCGTGAAGGTGCAGGAGAGCCATCCCTTCAGTAGGAGCTACCTATAAAGTCAATTTTGTATTAAAACTCAAATCATACAGCACATTCCAGAATTTGCACAAAGTAAAATTCTGAGGTTCTTTTGAAGTGGAAAGGAAATATTTATATCCATATTTCTATTAAAAAAATTTACAGATCTACCTCAGCCACAACACTATTTCTTGAACCATAGAAGACAGTTTCTCCTCCTACTAGAGGATCAACAGACAAATCGCCTGGATTTTTTATTGCATTTTTGGGACTGTATTTAAGGCCACCACTCAAATACACTAGCAGTGTGTAATAAGTGCGCTTTCCTTCTCCAAGATCAACACTTTCATCAATATGACGTCCAAACCGTTGACCAACTTTGTACCTAAAATGCAAAAGCACAAGGTCATTAGTGATGGTAATGCATCTCAATTACCTCAACACCAAATTCATGGTGATAATGTTTACTATTTGTCAAGGAGACTACACCAAATGAGAATCTTGCGTCCTGAAAAAAATCTTTAGACAACCAAGTAGTGCTTTCAAAAATTTTTCAGGAAAAAAGTAACCTAGGGAATCACGAACTAGAAGAAAAAATACTGACCTATATAATCTGATATTTGGATTCAGACCAACGGCAACTTTCCCTCGAATTCTTATATCCGAAAATATTTTGCAGAGTCCAGACTCCCAAATTGTAGCAGCGAGGACAGGATCATGAACAGAGATTCGATCATTATCCCTGTAAGCTTCACCTTTAGCTGGACCAAGACTCCCTTGATGAGAAAAGCCAATTGCTTCTGCTACTTTAACGAATGTCTTTGATTCAGAAGATGAGAAAAAGCCCTGAACCTGATATCTTGAACAAAATGTTAACACAATAAGAAAAGCTTATAGAAAGATTTTAAACAGATAATGCGTGGCAAATGAGCGAGAGTTTCGTAATTGTAAACCTTTTAATTGCTTTCGAACACTGAAAATTTCCATCTCCTATTAATTATGCGGATCAAGTAGAAGCAATTAAAAGAATCCACGGCCAATATTTACACTCCACTCAGTAAACAACAGGGAAAACATTAGAGCTAAGAGTAGCGTCCTTTTAACGTATTTTTCATTTACTGCTGCTACAAATTGAAAATCATAAGGTAAAATCGCTTTTTTTTAACCAGCAGGATTGGAATCCCGATAAGACATGTACTCCTCTTATGGTCCTAATTCTGGCATGGCTTTTTGAGAATTCAAGTATTAAAGTTAGCTATGGTGAGTGTTCTTGTTCTCAATCAAGTGAAAAGCGGAAGGAGGAAACTATGATATATTGAATTGGATGGAACGCAGCTCAGGTCTCATTATTATCTTATGAGACCCCCATCAAATTGTACTCAGTAAAGATCGGGCTAAGATGTCGAACATGGACATGTCTGCAACAGAAAACCAAAAAAGATTTCGGAGGATGTAGGTTAAAATTGTTACCGTAAACAGATCGCTATCTTTAAGCCGAGTAATCTGGAGATTCTTTTTTGGTTTGATGACAGGCCATTTTTGTGCTGCTTTGCTCGAATCTGCCTCCTTCCCGTCTCCCATTTTCCTCTTCTTCGTTAGCATTTCAGCGAGTTCGTAATTGCCTGATTCATGTCAATCAATACATAAGGGTACTCCCTTTGGTATTATTATTTACTAAACAACTAGGATTTGGGACCCGCGGGTTGCACGGATAGTTTGATGGCTAAAATATTAAAACCATTCTTCTGCCATATCATTTTTAATGTTGTTAATTCTTTTAAATTATATTAAGTTTCAATACAAAAGATATATTGATGCATTAATTGATGAAATATTCATTCATAATACTGTCCTTTTTTCTAATTATAAAGCTGTTTTAAAAATGTTTCACTTGTAAGAAAAATATAACATACTTTAATAAAAATAGAATTTCTTTAAATAGACTTTTTCAAAATTACTATTGTTATACACCCTGATTTTTCAACATTTTTTCACCAATGTATTACTAAATAAAAGACATATTTTTAATTTTATATTTTTTTCATGTAGTGTTAAAACCTAATGTTGTAAATTATATCAATGAGTGTTATTAATAAATGAGATGTTGTTTAAAATTATTTTATTATTTGAGCAGAAAATATTTCATTGTTAAATGAAAATAATTTTTTACCGTATGAAATGTTACATTAAGTGAAATAACTAAAATGAAATTAGAGTTCAATTAATCACATAACACGTGACATTTGTTTTCGAGAAATACGATAACGGTTGGATAGATTTTTCATAAAATAGATATTGAAGTAAATAAATGTAATTAATTTATTGATCCTTGAAGCCTATTTTTATGATTTTACTATTTAGCACGGATTAATGCACCCGTTAATGGGTTTAATGAATAAAACATAAATTAAGTTATACCATTATGGGCAACGGAGATATTATTGTAACATTATTTTTACCATATTAAATAGAGTTAATTTCTGTAATAGTTATGTAGGGTTGGTTTTTTGTTACCCTCATGTTGGGAGATAAAATAAATGGATACAAAGAAATTGTAAGATGATTCATGTTAGAGTTAAAAGAGGGTCGGCGAATAGTATTTAGGACTGTGCAACCTGTTTTTTATAGAAACTAATCAATATAATTTTTTTCTGTGTATATATTTCTTGGGTTATCGTTCTCAACAATGAAGAAGCTATATTAAGAGTAATAATGGATATAATAGCCTATATATCTGACAGCGTGAAGAAAGCAGAACCAGCTACGTCTCTTACAGTGTTTCTTGGAAGGAGTAGGAACAGTACTACATTGTGGCCATGGGTCACGGTTCTATATACTAAAAGAGTGCTTTCTAAACTCTTTGATTACTGCTCGTCACCGGATTGGAAACAGTGTCGCCTTCAGACTTGCTGCGGACAAGTAGTTGTAGGTATCGAAGTTTCAAAAGCCCCAAAAATTGTGGCACAATCTGAACGGAAGCAACCTTTTGCAAGGATAGTAAGTTGATCAAAAAAATTTAATGATTCAATACCTAAACCTAGGAAAATGATAGGATGTAATCCTTCCTTTCGTTATTGATTGATTTTGTTTCAACTGAAAGAGCATTTGGGAATTCAAGGACATACCAATTGTTTCAAGAGCATTGATCATTGGTGATAATAGAGGTCACATCAGGGTACGGGTTCTTTATATATATTTGCTGAAAGGGAACTGGAACATGACGTAGGCAAACAATGGATTTCTTTAATTTTAGTCAACGAAGAGGTTAGTACAACTCGATTTTTTAATTTTTTTTATATCATGGAATACGTTTCCTGACGGATTTTATGGAATTGGACTTGGTTGAAAACTAAACATAGCAAACCATTATACATAGTCGACAGCCAAAACAGCCGGACTCACTTTGCATTAGGAATGTGATAGAGGAGAGAAAGGTGTATTATATAGAAGGTTTTGTTGCAAAGGAAGGTTTGTATCATGGAAAACCAAAAAGAAATTCATTGATGTTGACTTTTAATGAGACCACACAATCAATAGAGTGCAACGGTGAGGACATTCCAGAACATATATTGGACATTTCAAAAATCGTTGATGCAGTTAAAGGTGTTGTCAGTCCTAACAAATTGATAAGTAAGATATATAACAATATTGTAGAAGATCTCATATCATCATATTTTTCTTTATTTGATCAATATTGTTGGTCATATTTTAAACATGTTTTTTTTTAAGTGGTCGATTTGAATTCTATTGATTCATAATATTAATGATCTACAGATGTATATGAACTAATAGTAGATTTAGGTTTGAGTAAAGAATCAAAGGAGAGCAATGGGCGTGTAAAATGGTTTAGATTATTGATCAAAGACCTAGAGTAAGTTTAAAGAAGATAGTTTTGAAATTTTATTTAATAATATCTATTTAACTACTGAATTATGAGTAATATATATGTATATTTAATAGCAACACATTATTAAGGTGTCTATTTCATGGAGATGTTGCTAAAGAAGCTTTTCAAGGTTGGGTGAATTGTGATAATAGGCCACTTAGTGTGTTCATAAGTTATGTAACTATTGATTTTGTTAGAGGTGAGTTCAACATAATTCATAATTGAGTTGTTTTGGAAGTTGTAACCTCTCCATAGTTGGTTAATAATATGTAATAGGATTTAACATTTGCACACCATTCTAATAATATGTTATATGATTTCACATTGTAGGTAACCATGTTATTCGCAATTATTTGAATGCAACAAAAGTAGAATTCAATCCATTGAAGCTTCAACCATTTATGTTTTAGTTTTAGGTAGGTTTTGATTAAGTTTTTTGAATCTGTGATAATTTATAATTGTTGTCAGATGATAGTGTTAAATTGCCATCTATGGCAGACCTAGTATTTCATGGTGAAATTTCTGTCCTATATTTTGTCATAGGTGTATAAGAATCATAACTAAGATAATTATTTCAGTTATATGTTAATTTATACATATTTTTTTCTATCTTGGTATTATAATCTATGGATTATGGCATATTATAGATATGTTAGTCTGATAGGTTGGCTTTGAGGTAGTAGTTGGTAGGTTTGTCATGTAATATTAATGTAGGAAATAATATATAATTAGTTAGTAATTGTTGCTGGAGTGATTTTTGTTATATCAGGTTGTATTGTATGTCATGTGAACTATGTAGAGAAGCAGGACTAATAAATGACTTGATTTTTATCTAAAGTAACATAGTGAAAAAAAAAAAAAGTTAACATGTCATATACCATGATTGATAATTAAATAACAATTAAACATATAGTAATTAAATTATTAAATAAAAAGAGGGGGGCTTTGGGGTAAAAGTTTCACAGGGCATGAATGATGTGTTATTGAGTTACATAGTATTTGGAAAAGTGAAGTTTCCTAACAACTCTAAGCTTTGCAAAGTTATTTGGTAATGTCTCTGAACATTTTCTTTTTCCAGATTTATTCACTAGTTTGGATTCTTTTGCTTTGTCCATTGAAGCTGAGCTGTTTGGATTGGTGCTTGACGCGTGTCTTTGTTTGACTGCAGGACGTTCCTTGTGATAGTTTAATCTTATCGTCATCCTTTCTAAAAAAGGAATAATTTGATAATCAAATACATACATGATATTAGTTTTGAATAGAGTGTAAAATGTATCTAAAAATATATGGTTAGAGATACATATCTAACATGTAGGTTATAAACTTACAAGTTTCATAACATGGGGTGGGCATCTAATGCAAGTAGTTCTTGAATGAGAATTCTGCAGAAGTTTTTTTTGCATATGCGAACACAGGGTATGGAGGAAGTGAGACTGGCAAGATCAATCTCTTCTGATGTATCACAAAGCATGGTTTTATCTGAGCTATTCCTACAACTTGTAAAAAAGGACACATAATTGGGGGAAAAAAAGGCCATACGAGGCCAAGGAATTGCAAAGAATCAAGCAGTTCTAACCTTGGAGGTACAGACATTATGGAAGTGTTAATGAGGAATTCAAAATTTTCGAACCTTATTTGCAAAACCGTAGTTAGAAGATAAGTTTTGAAGAGGAATAGTGACCGGATGAGCAATAAGGATGGTATTTACAAAGGGCAATGTAAGCGAGATTATTGTGAATTTTAAATTGTTATGAAGTTTATGGGAGAAGTAATCACACAATAAGAGTTGATCATTCCTAAAAATGCAAGTCAAAAGTTTTGAAATTAAGTTAATATAATGTTAATTACTTAAATATTTCTTTCATATCTTGTGTAGTATTTTGTTGGAACAAGATCTTCGCATTTGACTATGGAGGAAATAGAAGATTTAGTTGAAGAGTAGTTAGAATATATTATTGACTATTTGTGATAAGAAGTTAGATTTCAATGTTAGAAAAATACCAATAGTTTTATTTGTTAGGTTTGTTAGAAATTAAAATAGCTAGTTAGGAAATTGAAATTGTTTTAGTTTCAAGTTCTTTTCTTGTATATAAATTTTTATATTGATATTATTTTTGAATTAGATTTTGATATTGTGATTAGTCATTATTAAAAAGACATAAAAAAAGAAATTTTAAAAAATCTATTTTAACAAAAATAAATACAATCTACAGGAGCACTCCTAAAATGAGCACTCCTGTAGAATAGACATATGGGAGTGCTCTTTAACTAAATGCTCCCGTGTGTGCCTAGCCAATGTATTTTTGGTCTTTACATACAAGAACACTCCTGTATATTTTGGAATGCTTGATAAGAGAGCGCTTCAAAAGCGTTCTTATAAGCTTATTTTGTAATAATGTTTGGAATATACTTTGATTTTGAAGTGTGTGTCGTGCATAAAAAGTTTTAGTTCTACATAATATTTAGACTATGATAGCTAATGAAAGTTGAGCCTTGTAAGTGAAATTTGCTCGAGAAAAAAATTTAAATTCATGTGATTATTAAACTATTAATTGATATATAAGGTGCCATATTGAATGATTTGCAATAAAAAATAATGAATTATATGGATATTATCTTTTACATGTCCAAGAAAGCTCTACTTAAGTGATTGTTTCACGCAAGTTGATGAGGTTGACTGTTGGGTAAATACATCAGACGTTATCCCTGACTGAACTCCGAGTAATTAAAGAGTTTGAAGGGAAAGTGTCA